AAAATTTGGGACATTTTCTAGTTATCAGAGAAATAATGTACCTAGGTATGGAAAGAAATTTCCTGGTAGTCCAAAGAACGTTTCTCCCTACTGTTCCAAATACTCTCTTGTTACGTAATCCTAACACAGGTATTTTGATGCCTGGTAAATTTATTTTCAAATATGGATAGGCCAGCCTGCATTAGAGGTTTCTCCTCTGTTGTGTTTATAAAATGATCTATAACCAATGATTCTACAACTAAGAGACTGCAACTTTCTTTACTAAAGCCTCACGCTGCATAAGGTACTATATTTATGTCATACATAAATATATAGTTTGGGATGAGTAAATTTGATTTTCTCAATTTGATTTTCAAAGTTAAAAAACTGAAATTGTGCTGTACCCTTACAGCTGTTCTAGGGAGCAAATACCCACAGCTTAGAGAAGCTAGTTCTTCACTAGCCAGTAACACTGATGTCATACTGCATTTGATGAAAGCACCTGCCCAGAAGCATTCACACCTGATAAGCATATTGTGTGGACTAGAGTTACAGAAAAACAGAAGAAAAAAATCATTTTTTACCCTAGTGTCAGATGCCACAGTTATATCAGCTAATGAAAACAAAATTTCTCTGAGGAATGTGGAATGTATTTAGTATTTCCACCAAATAATGGTTCTGCCACCATCTGCAAGATGTGGAGACAGCAACGAACCTGATTACATTTTTTCTTATCTCCTGATGAAACTCCCCATTAGGCACTAGGCAGGATCCCCATCTCCCAGAGGACAGTTCTGGTGTAGATGGATATCAAAAGTGGAAGTGGGATGATTGCAGCAACTAATGGCCTGAAAAATGGTGCTGTGAGCATATTTACATTATATCATATACAGGAATAAGTATAATTTATATGTGAATAGATTTATAATATACTTAATTATACACTATATTTTATCTTAAAACATAACATCAAGTTCCCCATCTCTAACTGGTCTAGTTGACATACTACACTACAAAGGCATTTACATGCAGCTTTCATCAATTTCAGTGAGAAACACAGAACCCAAACAATCCTTGATAATCCTTTAAATTTTAAAAGTTTGCCTTATAAAATCCACGACTTGGCCATTTGGAAAACTAGATGATGACCAGGACAAAGTATATGGCTAATGGAGTGGATCTACAGAGTGCTACAAACCAACCAAAACAATGTGGCTGCTTCACGAAAAAGGAAACTACAATCTGCCACAGAATCAGAGCTTCTCATGTGACAAGGTAAAGAAAAGAGTTTTTGGTCAAACATTATTCTGGGTGAGTCTCTAAAGGTGTTTTTGGATCAGTTTAATATTTGGATTGATAGACTGAGTAAAGCAGACTACCCTCCCTAGTTTGGGTGGGCTTCTTCCAATCAGTTAAGGGCTGAATAGAACAAAAGACTGACCCTGCCCTCCAAATAAGGGGAATTCCTCCTGTCTGACTGGCTTGGAGCTGGAACTTGGCTTTTCCTGCCTTCACAATTGAAATGAAACATCCACTTATCACGGATCTCAAGCCTGCAGGCTCCCAGACTAAAACTACACCATCAGCTCTCCTGGTTCTTAGGCCTTTGGACTTGGACTCAAAACTAAACCATCAGCCCTCTGGGTCTCAAGCTTGCCAACTGCAGATCTTGGGACCTCTCAGCTTCCATAATCCCATAAGCCAATTCTTTATAAAAAATGTCACATATCACTCATATGTGGAATTTAAGAAACAAAACAGATGAACACAGGGGAAGGGAAGGAAAAATAAAATAAGATAAAAACAGAGAGGGAGGCAAACCATAAGAGACTTTTAACCATAGGGAACAAACTGAGGGTTGCTGGGGGGGAGGTGGGTGGGGGATGGGGTAACTGGGTGATGGACATTAAGGAGGGCACGTGATGTGATGAGCTCTAGGTATTGTATGCAGCTGGTGAATCACTAAATTCTATCCCTGAAACTAATAATACACTATATGTTAACTAAATTGAATTTAAATAAAAAAAATTTTAAATGCCATATATACACACACACAATCTTAATATATATGGATTTTTAAGACGTATATATAGATACTTTTAACCTATCTATTATATTAAATACAAACACACAAACCCTGTTGGCTCTGTTCCTCTGTAGAACCCTGATTTAATACAACATTGTAATGGAAAAAACTCTTCCCTATAGAGCCACCAAAGTAGTAAAGATGGGGATATCTCATTCCTTGCCAAGATAACAAAGATGAATAAGCCGCAGCAGCCATCAGATGGTGATACTATTAGAAAGTATGTGATATTAGGGGCATCTGAGTGGCTCAGTCGTTTTAAGTGTCTGCCTTCAGCTCAGGTCATGATTTCAGGGTCCTGGGATAGAGCCCTGCATCACATGGGGCTCTCTGCTCAGCAGGGAGCCTGCTTCTCCCGCTCCCTCTGCCTGCCTCTCTGCCTACTTGTGATCTCTCTCTCTGTCAAAGAAATAAAATCTTTAATAAATAAATAATAAATAATAAAAGAAAGTATGTGATACTTGAAAATAAAACATGACTGAAATATTCCTACTTCTATAAGAGGCCTGGAATAAGGAACCCAAAATGCACACGATTGGAGGGGGAACAGTGGAGTATTAAGGGAGAAAAGATCGGACAAAAAGAGAGAAGACGTGCTCACAGATTATTACAATTTATTTTTCCCTGCAGAAATTATCATTCACACCAATTCAGGCACATGCATGTGCTGCCCCTCCCTCCAGGGCTACAGCTGTGACCACACACATACAACCTGCTGCTAAACCTCAAATCCTTATCAAATATGCCACGTAATAGCTAATCAAGCTGTGAAGAATTTTGCTTCTTCGTTCTTCCTGACTTAAAAGCCAAGGTGCTCCTGAACGATCCTATGAATTTTAGGGCCTGTGTTCTTCTCACGACACCCACACATACTTAAAATCATCTTTGTATGAGGTTCACAGAGAGAGGAAACAGAAGGTGTCAAAGGAGAGATTTTAGAATTTCAAAAAATTTCCAGGATCACAGACATTCTTTTCCAATATACAAGCTAAAGACATTTTAGGAAAGCTTAACACCAGTTGGGTATGCGGAGACTTGTGAAGCGAAAGGGAATTTAGGATTCATTAAAACACTATCATGGATAGAGACCTAACTATTTGCTCAGAAGTCTTCCATCCCACCCCACAACGCCCAGTAAAGACTCCTTGACTCCCAGCTCAGTGGTCACAGTGTGCACAAAAGAAGGCTAATTCTGAAGTGAGCATGTACCTGGGCAGGGCTAAAAGCCAAGGCCTTGGTCTCTTGCATCCTTCCGTGTCTTTCTTGCCCTTGCACATTCCTTCTCCTCCTTTCTTCCCAGAACAGAGGCTCTGGAGCCAGACTCTGGGTCTGAATACTCTTTCTGACACTGATTAACTATGTGTGACCTTGAGGAAGTTATTTACCTCTTGATGCCTCAGTTTCCTCAGCAGCAAAATGTAAAATATAGTAGTGACTAGCAATGTGGGGTTGTGAGGATGAAATCAGTTCAAGCACAACAGGTTCTTGATGCAGTACTGGCCCACAGTACATGTCCATGTCAGCCCCGACTAATCTTGTGGAGTCCATTCTTGGACCCAACAGGTGGTAAGTTGATTTTGGTTCATTTATGGCATTTCTCACATGGTATAAAAAGCACCCATTTACCAGCCCACCTCCCCCTAGACGGAGCAGGAATCACACATTCTCATGATCCTTCCCAGCACCTAGTGGTGGTACACAGCAGATACTCAATAACTGTGGACTGAGTGCTTCAACACACTAATTCTAACAAGGACAGTGTGTCACCTAGGCTGCTGATTATGAATGGCAATGGCAATGCAGTAAAGTGAAGCTCCAGGTAGAATTCTGCAATGAAACACAATTCACCCTTTGGCTGTATAATCAAGTCCTGGGATTTTTTATTTGTCTAAATTCATTTGCTTTAAAAATCTTTCAAATAAGGTCACTTTGTTTATATACTTGTCCCTCTTAATGGCACAGAGAAGTAAGCATAACAAAGCTGACTGAATCAATGTTACTTTTGCCCCAGGAGAACAAAATTCTAGAAATATTTATGAGCAATCTCCTACAGTTACATTTAATTATCAATTGCACATAACACATAATTATTAAAGTCATTAAGAAATGTCCTTCCAAGTATAAACAAGAGCAAAGCATCAACAGACCCAGGATAAAGCAGAGGTTACAACTACCTTTTTGATGCCTGGCTCCCCCCAAATGACATTTCCCTTAACTACAAAAGGGATAAAAAGACCACTGGACTAACCCTGGTCTCAGGCATGTGATTTGGTCTCAGTCTCAAAAAACCTTTTGTGGAAAGTCCTCTTTTTGTGAAACATCCTATTAAAAAGCAAGCCCGTGAGACATATTCACTAGTTCCTCTAAGTAAGTCCCAAGGTGTTAACTGAGAGGACAGAGGAAGAAGTAGACAGACAGACACACATATGCACACACCTACTCCTCCTATATAGACCAGACCAGTTAAGAAGATCAGTAAAAGTCACAGGCTTTTTCCTACATGACTTTGGTTATTCCCATATGAAACATGCACAGATGTTTCTGTTGGATCACAGATGTCACTGTCGGGTCAGATTAATAAAAGCCATATTTTCCAGTTAAGCATAAGGAAAAAGAGGTAATAAAGGAATTCAAATATGCTCATGCTCTGTAACAGAAAAGAATAGGTGAATTTGCATTTTATGTTTCCTGGCCACATACACTTCTCATTTAATTAAAAGAATTTGGGAAGATGAGTCTTAAGTTCACATGACCACAATTTACTATGAAGAACACTAAGAACCTCCTAGAAAACAATACTACTTTGCAGTGCCAAAAAAGCACACCTGAATCAAATATTAAGTGAAATGAGTTACTCCAAAAGCCAAAAGGAGGATTGCTGAAAGGTTCAGCTGGTTTAGTTCTACAAAAATAAACCGAGGAGCAGGCAGCTCACCACTATATCCTCAGGGAATGTGTCTCTGCTGAAGGAGCCATCATCAAACACAACCTCATAGAAGGTCTGCGATGTCACAGCAATCACCCTGCAGCTGTAATAGCGGGTGTTCCGATGCTTCGTGATGACCGTCTGCCCCACAGAGATACCCTTCTCGCCAGCCTTGGACTTCTAGAATAAGGGGCACAGAGAAAGGAGAGAAAAGGAACAGGAGAAAGATAAAAGGTAGGGACAGAAAATAAAATATATATTTATTTAGAAAAAAAAAATTCACGTGGTCATGATACATATTTTTAATTTTTAAACTTTTTATTGGGGAATAATTTCAAACCTAAAGGTTACAAGTATATGAGTAGTACAAGATACCTATATACTCTTGACCCCTTTACCCAGATTCACCTATTGTTATCTATCAATATTTTTAACATTTTACCATTTCTCTTTTTTTGCATATTCTATCTCTATTTTATATACATGTATATTTATATATAAAAAAATTGTGTGTGTATATATATAAACAGTCCACCCAGAACCATTTAAGAATAAGCTACATACATCATGGGCTTTTACTCCTAAATACGTCAGTTGTGTATTTTCTAAAAATAAGGATTTCCCTTTACATAACCACAGTACAGTTACTAACTTTAGTAAATCTAACATGGACACGATACTTTTATCAATGATGTATGTTCTAATTTTGTCAACTGAGCCAATAATGATCTTCATGGTTTCTCCAACTCCCCTCACATGGTCTCAAGGGCAAGGTCCAGTCGAGTCAGGTACTGCACTTTGCTGCCGCTTCTCTTTAGCCCCTTCTAATCTGGATCATTTCCACAGCCATTCTTTGTCTTTTGTGATCATGAGTGATACTTCTAAAGAATACAATTCTCCCTCTCCCTCCTTTTTTAACAGAGCATTTGCCTGATGTTTCCTCATGATTAGATTCAAGTTATACATTCCTGGCCAGAACACCACACAGATAATGTCATATTCTTCTCAGGATATCACATCTGGAGGCACATGATGTCTGTCTACCTCTCAATGGTGATGTTAATTTTGATCCTAAACAAACTGTAGTCCAAACTCTCATTATAATCACTATTTTTTCCCTTACAACTAATAAGCAATCTGTGGGAGAAACTTTAATACCATGCAAATATCCTGTTCCTGTACATATCTGCTTAGGTTTAGTATCTATTGACGAGTCGGGCCTGATCCAATCTTTACTGTGATGGTGGTGATATGCTGATTTCTGCAGCTCTGGCACTCCCTCCATATTTACTAGCTGGCACTTGGCACCTGTTAAGCAGGAGTCCTCTACTCTCCCCACATCCTGGTCTTATGTGGGAGAGGAGAAGACAAGGTAGAAGCCTGCAGAAATGGCCTGGGGCCCACAGGTCAGGCTATGCAGGGGGTAGGGAAGGGAGGAGGGCAGTTCCTTTGCCATCCTAAGGAGTCAGGACATTATCCTGTGGGCCTAAGGAAGGCACCGAGAGATTTAAGTATTGAAGAAAAATGATCCAGGTTTATATGGCTATAGGTGGAAAAGGTGAGTGGGGAGCTTATTACAATGGGCCAGGTGGAAGATGAGGGCCTGGAGTAAGGAACTAAGGACAAATGCTCATGATTTGGATGGAGGGATGACTCCCTCCCAACAAGCATGTTCCTACAGTCTCCTAGTTGTAGAGTGAGCTCTGCCATCTAGTTTCTCACATGCCTAACAAAATAAAATCATTCCCCAGTGATTGCTGGGTTGGTTGGGGAATTTTTTTGCCTTTAGGTGTAGTTAGGTATATAAACATCTTGACAAAAGACAAAAGTAAAAAGACTATAGTGATTTAAGTGCACTATGCTTAAAGTAGAAATCATTTGTTTTGTTTTGTTTTTAAGGTTTTTTTGTTTTGTTTTGTTTTTTAGTAATCTCTACACCCAACATGGGGCTTGAACTCATGACCCCAAGATTAAGAGTGGTGTACTCTTCCAACTAAGCCATCCAGGCACCCGTGAAGTAGAAATCATTAATAGCTAGGCCACAGTATGTTATATGTGCTGAAATAATTACCTAGTTTCCTGTTTCATTTCTCCATCCAACCCCTTTAAATATATCTAACCTTTCCCAGTAAGAGAAAACTCCAATGTGATAATGAATATGAGTAAAAGCACAGTCTGTGGTGATATAACTCCCGAACTGGGCCCACAACCGTTCCTCAAGACTGTACTGTTTACAGCTAACTGTAGGAGGCAAACTTTACAACCTGTGTGACCATATACAGTGGCCCCGAGTGGCCATGGCAGCACTTTCTGCAGATGTTGTCCCTCTCTGTCAAACTGACTTAAAAACACTCATGGTCAGGATTGCAAGTGCTGCATTTTACTATGGTATTAGTTCCTTTGTGCATAGTTTATTAAAATTGGAATTAACCCTGTAAGGAAACGATGGTTTGGATTTGAATTCTAAGCTCTGCTACTTACTAGCTGTGTGATCTTGTGATCTTGAACCTTTATCAGCCTCAGTTTGTTCATCTGTAGAAGGGATAATACTTACATTAAAGGTTTGCTATAAAAACAGGATAAAGTACATCAACTACCTAGACTCATGGGCAACTGGTTCTGAGCAACTGTTGACTGGTTTCATTTTGTAAGGGGAGAGCATACCTAGGACCCCAGCCCCAGATTAATAAGCCATTCTTCCCTGCTGCCCCGCAGTAATGGGCACGTATGGCTGCAGCACCCTGATTTCACACGACAAGGCTGAATTCAGCCCCAGACCACCACCGTCTTGTTCTTTACCTCATCCACTTCTGATTCTAACTCATGTCAAAAGTGGGCACAAAGCTATGGTCCTTAGGAGGAAAGGCATAAGGAGGCCTCCTCCCCTACCCCTAATGCTCCCAAAGCCTTCGTCTGCAACTCCCTTAAAGCCCTGCCCAAATGACACTTTGATTGACTATTCCTCCTACAACAGGGCAAAATCCATGCATCAGCGCCAGACTACATGTCTTTTTTTTTCACAGTACCCACCACAGCATGTACAACACTATTGTTGCTGGATGAACAACAAATGAATGAATGAAAGAAAGAAATAATTTTTAAAGATGAATGAACAAACCGTGAGGATGGGTACAGACACATTTTCAAAATGGGAGAGGACTGATTCTAATCATTCATGGTCCAGAAAAGGGAAAAGAAAAACAAAGGGGAGTTGTAGGAAGATGTTCCTCTTTCTTGGGGTAGGAAGGCATGTATGTGGGTAGGGGGAGGGAATAAAGAAGTTTTATGGTGAAATTCACAGGGTCTGGAAAGTGGAAGTGGTCAGTCAGGGGAAGAGAAACACGATACAGATTTGAAAGAGAAAAGGCTGACTCTAGACTACAACCATCTTTTTCCTACTTAGGACCTGAAATTTATGCAACTAGCTGGCTGGAAAGATGGTCAACACACAAATTACTTTCATCTAAATAAAAATTTCCATGAGCTTCAGGCATGACCATTTCATGGGGAGTACTAAGGAAAACAGATTTTTTCCATAATGCTATTTTGATAGGATTTCTGATTTATTTTTGCAGGGAAAATTTATTGACAAGCATACCCCATAACTTATTATACATTCTCAAAAATATTTCCTGTCAGAAAAGTCTAAGAATCTATTGATGTTAACACTGTCATTTCTGATCAAAGAAGACAGATATTATGCAAGAGGTTTCATCAGATTATAGAAATGGCTATGGTATTTTGAAGATTAGTACACAGGCTAAGGCTGTGAAAGTTAAATTTCCTTCAACATGCACTAAGCAGAAATGAACAGTGGTTTAAGGGGAAAAAAAAGCACAACTTCTTTTAAGGAAAGCTAGAGCCAGTTTGAAATGCTGGGGATGGGGAAAAAATGTTAAGTAGGAAAATGTTACAGACATTTCACAAAAGCATCAGAGAGTTCTTGGGGCACAATTATACAGGTAGAGTTACCAACACACATCCATATACCTGAGTTAATTAAATTCTCCCAATAACGCTGTGACATGGTTGTTATTTTCATTAAATAGATGAAGTAGCTGAGGTACACAGTCAAGGACCTTTTCCAAGATCTCAGAGATGGTGAGAAGCTAACATGGGGCCCAGAGGCAGGCACTTTCCTATCTTGAGTGCGTTGCTATCATCAACCAGGAGAATAAATGTTGACAGAAATCAGAGGAGAAATAAAACCTACCAGGAAATGGACCTAATGGAATTTAAGCACTTGCCTAAAGAAGTTACATTTTCTTTTTCTTTCTTTTCTGATTTATTGAGTACCTCCTCTGTTCTACATACCCGTTGAGATATTTCTCAGGTAAGAAATCATTTAATCTCCTCAGAGTTCAATTAGCAACTTGGATTTGGAGCCTATCTGGAGATGAAAAATGTAGAATGTATAATTGTACATGCAGTGCATTTTTCCATATGTACACATGACACACACACACTGTGGTAAATTGCAAAAATACCCATAAATCTTCACTTCTTTCTGTTTTCACATCCTTCTCAATGAGACCTTGCAGCTCCTTCTATCAAGGGCTGGACCCGATTTGCTCACCCCTCAAATCTGGGTTCACCTTGTGGCTTGGACTACCTCGACCAAAAGAATACAACAGAAGTATGCCAATCCAAGGCCTTGCAGCCTTCTGCAGTTTCTTTCTAGGGGCCCTAGACTCTGTCATGTAAACAAACTCAATTATCCTACTGGCAGACGAGAGATCACATGCACCAGACATGGACCCAGCTAGGAAAAGGTAAGCAGTTCTGCAGCTGACCACAGATGAATGAGGCAATCAGCCTGGAATAGAAGAATCACCCAGCTAAGCCCAGCCTAAATCTGTGACCTACAGAATCACCAGCTAAAGAACTGTCATTGTTCTAAGCCACTACAGTTTGTGATAGTTTGTCACACACACAAGTAAGAAAAAAGATACTAAGAAAAAATATACTAAACTGCTAACCTATATAAATCTAGGTAATGGAATTTTGTTTATTTTCTTCTTCATGTACTTCTCTGTACTTTCTATTATGTATTTAGTTAATTATTATTGAAAACACTAAATGTAATAAAATACAAGAGCCCTTGCAAGTTTCTAAATTCTTTTAATAACAGGTCTACTTAACTGATACGCTCAAAAAAAGCTGAAGCCAAATTATTTAGTAAAGAAAGACAATGTTCATCATTTATCTTTCAGTTAAATATATAAGATAAAAGAAGGACCTAAAATGTACACTTTGTAAAGTGGAAGGATACACAAATTTAGTTAAAAAAATTTCATCTGACTTAACTTATATTTATTATATTTAGGCCAAATGTGATATAACAAAAAGGCACCTTTATTTTGTTCTTAATAATCACTACTGATTCCTAAGACATGTTGTTTCAGTAAAATGAACATATTTTGTTCTCAGGTTTGGGGTTCTATTTTAAAAAACAAGAACAACAACAAAATAAAAACAAAAACATAAGCCACCCATAAGGGGCAGCACAAATAATAGGATCCAACTGTTTAAATGTAGAAGAGTTTTCTCCCCACTATGTCGCTTCCAGGTGTGGGCTTAGAAAGGAAACAGGCCCTTATTACACAGCTCTCTAACTTTCCCAAGACTCTACTGATGTTGAAATAAATGGCCACACTTGGAAGAAAAAAAAAAATAGCTAACCATCAGTGATCACAATCTGAATAAGGAGAAAAAGATGTTCCTAATACCTGGATTGGCTATCAAAGGCACGCCAACATCCAATAGGCTAACTCCAAAAAATTTAAAGCCAGTGTTGACAAAACAGGATGAAAGAAATCACATTACCTGACGAGTATACTATGGCCATAAATTCTGAGCCAAAGAGCCAAGAACCAGCTAGCAAGTGATGCAAAGAGGAAAAGCAATGCAAGGATGGACACAGAGAGAAAAAAGTGGCACTTAATAAGCAATTACTGAGTGCTCATTACGAGTAAGGTACCTTGCAAGGTGCTGAAGATTAAAATAAAAGAATGAGAGAGTCCCTTCTCTCAAATACCTCACAGGCTGGTAAAAAAGAGAGACATAGCTGATCAAAATGCAAAGTATTAAGAATGCCCAGATGAGGGCAGGAAGCGACCTTTCCCAGGCTTCACTACAGGGAACTTGTGAACCAGGTCGGAGGGAGCCAGGAAGCACTCTTGTACACACGTCAGGGAGGCGGTTTGAGAGTGGAGTGTTTGGTGCCATGAACCCCTACCCTTGGCTACCTTGTGAGCCTGTGGGCACCTACTCAGACGGTATTTTTAAATGCATAAAACAAAACAACAAAAGATTACAAAAGAAACTAATTGAAATAATACTGAAAAACAAATTTGTGGTGTAATATCTTTGCTTCTTTAATAATGTATTAAATACTAATATCTAGTGGCAGGTCTAATAACTATTAATCTCCTAATTTCAAGTTGTGAAGAACATAAGCAATATTTTGAGATCTCTGTTACAATGGTCATGTGAGTTCTATTGTGGACAGAGTCACAGAAACTGCTAAGGCCGGCACTGCTTCCAAACTGACAGAATTGCTAAATTCCAGCTAGAGTTAGTGGAAAACAATTGTAAATCTTTCCTCATCCTCTAACAGACAAATTTTTCTTGATACTAAAGTATAAAAAAGATTTTATCACCTGGAATATTTAAAGGCACAGCAGTCAACCTTCTAACAACTTATAAAAAATTACAACAATATTCTTTATATAATGGTGCTTATATATACTGAAGATAAAAGGACAGAGCGAAATGAAACTCAATGAAGTCATCCCTGTGAAAGGTGAAGTTATGGAGGCATTATGGGTAATTCTGGGGTGACCTAAAATGACACAAGAACCTAACTTAAGTACTGATGTTAGAATGTGCACTGCATTCTCCAATATCATTTCTCCCCATTGGGTTTTTGAGAGCAGAGAGCAGTTAGTTCACTAACTCTGAAGCAAAGGCTCAGGGAGGAGTCCCGTGTGGCAGAAGGAAGGAAGATTCCTATACTTTGGCAACACAGATCTTCTCTGATCAGACCCAGCAAAGGCTCAGCTGCATTTACGCCTTGAAGAAGGGTAACCCACCATCTGATGAGATGAATCATGGGCAGAAATGTCATCCTGGGAAAATCCCCGACTGGGTTCTCCATCTATATAATAATGTTTACAAAGGGTGTAAATCTGAATATAACAGTGTATGCAGAGCGAGCAAGGCTGGGAAGTTGAAGAAATGAAGTAACTTATCCAATGAACAGGCCAAAAAGGACATTCCCATTTCTCTCCAGGAACCCCTTCACCTTCTCTTCTTAATTATTTCTCCCTAATTCCTATGATTTAATAACCCGTGAGATATTATTATTGTATTTTTTCAAGATACCATTTTATAAAAATCCCTAGGGGATCTGAGTAAATAAATTAATACACACTATTCTTCTTTTACCAACTCATGCAGTAGAAGTCACTCATATAAATTTGCCTTGTAATAATGAAAGCTTTCTTTGTAAAATTACAAGAGCTAGGTAA